AGAGGGGGGAGGGAGAGAGAGAGAGGGGGGAAGGGAGGGAGAGAGGGGGGAAGGGAGGGAGAGAGGGGGGGAGAGAGAGAACAAGAGAGAGAGCAAGAGCGAGCAAGAGAGAGAGAGAGCAAGAGAGAGAGAGAGCAAGAGAGAGAGAGAGAGAGAGCAAGAGAGAAAGGGAGAGAAAGAGAGAGAAAGAACAAAAATAATAACGCTAACATAATAATAATATAGTAAGTATAAGGCGCGCTGGGCACAATTAAGTCCCGAGCATTGCTGTTGCTAGGCTGACAACTCTAACACAATGCGAGCGTGGCGGTGTCGAGTTTATGAACTACGCTGTCCCCTCTAGATCTAGCTCTTATCCTCATACGTAATAGATTCCATAACGTGTCTCTGCAGTGTAATGACACCAAGCTAAAAAATTTGATAAACTTATTCAGTGGGTGGTTTGCGGGTGCTCTGGTGTGGTTTGCTACTTTTTTTCTATTGAACGTCTATCGTCCTGATCTCTCCTCCTTCTTTCTGTCCCCGTCGTTTTATGCAAGAAAAATTCTGAAATTATGCAATCTGAGCCCAAAAATGTGAAATTATGCGATTCTGTTAATTTTAACAAAGAATGAAAAAGGAAAATAATGATCAAATTTTGCTAAATTCTGCGGGGTGCATAAAACCACGGTGTCAGTTCTTTTTTTTTTGCGTTTGTTACTCTTGTAACGCCTCTAATCTTCGGCACCTATCACCTTATTGTGTTGCATGAGCCGTATAAGCCTTACCAAAACTAAACTGACCGTATTGTTTTGCAAGTGCCGTAAAACACTAAATGGTCTAAACCAAAACTAAACAAGCCCCGCACGCTGCTGTTGCTATAGGCTGACAACACTAACACAATGCGAGCGTGGCGGTGTCGAGTTTATGAACAACGCTGTCCCCTCTACCTCTTATCCTCATACATAATAGATTCCATAACGTGTCTCTGCAGTGTAATGACACCAAGCTAAAAATTTGATAAACTTATTCAGTGGGTGGTTTGTGGGTGCTCTGGTGTGGTTTGCTACTTCTTTTCTATTTAACATATTATATTATGTCGTCCTGATCTCTCCTTCTTTTTTATGTTTGTAAAGTAGGCTACTCTCTTGTAACACCTCTAATCTTCGGCACTTATCTCCATATTGTGTTGCTTGTGCCATAAAACTCTTACTAAAACTAAACTGACCTTATTGTGTTGCAAATGCCGTAAAACACTCAACTAAAACTAAACAAGTCCCGAGCGTTGCTGTTGCTGTAGGCTAGCAACACTAACACAATGCGAGCGTGGCGGTGTCGAGTTTATGAACAACGCTGTCCCCTCTAGCCCTTATCCTGATACATGATAGATTCCATAACGTGTCTCTACAGTGTAATGACCTGAATTTAATATTGTAAATACCAATGCAAATAAGAGTCTTTGTGCCATATTAACAACAACAAAATTTCATAAATGTCTGTCCGTCCTTTTAACATGATGATATGACCGTGTGCGGTTGCGAGCGCCGAAAAAACTCTTACTAAAAAATGACATGATTCAAGATTTGTTGCAGTTGGCACTTATATGACAAAAATTGAGTCGATAGTGCAGTAAAACGCCTACTCAATCAATTTTAAAAAACCCAGTGTAATGACAACAAGCTACAATTTGATAAACATGTTCAGTGGGTGGTTTGTGGGTGCTCTGGTGTGGTTTGCTACTTCTTTTCTATATGTCGTTCTTATCTCTCCTCCTCCTTTTCTCTGCATGTTACTTCGTTGTAACGTCTTTAATTTTGTGGGTGGTTGGAGGGTACAACTGATAGTGTCCTACTTGTTTATTTTCCCTCTGTTGTTTCTGTCTCTCTGTCTTCCTTTTTCCAGCTCTAAATGACCGCTACTGTGTCGATGTTCTTCTTTTTACTCAAAGAAACAAGCCTCTAATCTTCGGCACTTATAAAAATAATATGACCTATATTCATATCGCAAGTGCCGTAAAACTCTTGTTTAAAACCGAAACGAACAAGTTCATTCTGGCTAGAGAGGTTCTTCTTTCCAAGTTAAAAAAAAAAATTGAAGCCTTATCAGGTGGTTTCATATTGCCATTGGTAGGTCCTATAATTATATTTCTTTCTTTTCTTTTTTCTCTTTGGTTTCTGAATGTTTATGGTAGTCTTTCTTTACATCAGAGATCACCAAACCTCGGTTATCGGCCGTTATGTGGGTGTTTGGTGGGTGCTCTGGTGTGGTTTGCTCCTTCTTTCCTATCAAACATCTATCGTCCTTTTCTCCCCTTCTCTTTTTTATGTTTGTTACTAGGACTACTTTTGAAGTAGTCCTTGGTTTGTTACTATGTTGTAAAACCCCCAATCTTCTGGCGCTCATATGACCTTATTAATATAATGTTGCAAGTGCCGTAAAACTCTTACTAAAACTAAACTAATCGGCTGATATACTTCTCTATAGTCGTACTAACTGAATTTCCTACCAATGTAACGGTATAATAAGCACTGTGATCACAATTTCGAACGCGTTCTGAATGTCCTCACTGCCACAGTGCGAATGCCTCTCGCACTTATTTAGTTATTTAAAATCCATTTAAGAATCAACACACTAGAGAAATCTTCCATGTTAATCGAAATATCCCAGTCTGAATCGGTTGTGAAAATAATGAATTAAAAATTGAATAAATGAATAAACAGATCATTGAATAAATGAATAAAAAAATTAATTGAACGAAATAAATAACTTTTAAACAATAAATAAAACATACTTAAATACATAAAAACACATATACATAAACAAAATTATTTTATTTATAAATT